GAGTAGACAAACAATAAATCAGAGTAGACAAATGTTTTGGATAATTGTGGTCAGGAAAATAAGTGTTTATACTGTTCACACATATTGATTCCATTATCAGTCAGTGGATGAACTGTTTATTCAATTTGTCTTATAAACATCTTTATTTGAGAAAAGCCATCAATATTCACTTTTACAATAATAATATTATTAACAATACTAATTTCCTTGGTAACTAGAAAAGAGAAAAAGAAAGTCATAGATGGACAACCATCAGTCTCTATGCTAATGACAGTTAAAACATACACAAACTTTATAAAATCTTTTTTATTACTTATACATCTTCAGCCTGCAGAAGGTGACATCTTAATTCATCTGTTCCCAACTTCTCAATATAATCCAAGAAATGTCTCATAACCTCTGTTGAGTAGTTCAACTCCAGCAGTTGCTCAGTAGTAGTCACTCATCCTATGATGTCATTGACCAATAAGAGAGACAAGACCCAGTCTTTATAAGCATATGAGCATTTACTCATTTATTGATAAGCATGCATTTATCCATTCAACAAATACACACTTTATTATGTTGGGTTCTGGCGAGTATAACTGAAGAGGATATACAGAGTCCCTATTCTGATGGGGGTGAGGGATGAGGTGGGAAGTACATAGGATGAAGCACAGTGGCAATTAATTGAAACTCAGCAAACTTGAGATAGTTTCCCAGGGGAAAAAAATGCCTTCTAACTAAGACTGAAGGGATGTTAAAAAACATTATCCTGGCACAGAAAAGAGGTGAAATAATCTGGCAGAAGAAACCGAGTTGAGAAACCCAGGGATTTAGAGAGACCGCAGCAGGTGTTCTATTGGGAAACTGAAAAAAGTTCAATGCAGCTGGATTGTAAAGTCCAGTGTTGAGTGAGATAATAGATAAGGTCAAAGAATTTAGTAGATTTTACAGTATCTGTTATGATATGTTAGAGAGTTTAAATTTTGAGAGCGATTTGAAGCCATGGAAGGTTATAAACGAAGGGAACGGTAGGATCAAATTTATACTTTGGAGATTTTAGCTCTGGCTGCCATGTGGAGAATGAAAAGAATAGACTGGAGGAGCAGGAGCCATGGAGAAGATTACTGCTAAATTTGAAGTGAGAAATTATGACAGTTAAATCTAGGGCACTGAATCTTCCTCTAGATTTACTGACCATTGAATTTCATTTAGAATTGAATTTCTAACTTCCCCTCACAGTCCTTTCTAAATGGTAAAGTCCTATTCCAAATTAGCCTTAATAGTTGAATTTCAATTTTATGATACCAAATGTACTGGAAAGTTATTGATTGCCAGGTTGTCCCCCACCCCCCACTGATGGCTTTGCCATGTGTTCACTCATCAAGCTGGGATGTACTCACCAACTGAGACATGTATTTCTTGGCTACTGTAGACCTTTTCCTAAAAAACTCCTATTTAATGCTCCTATTTTCTGATGATGGTACCTCTCCGTGTACTGACATTTCTGTTAAACTGTCTGGGCTCCAGGTCCTCGCCATGTTATTCTCTCCTCCTATGACTAAGCTCCATTTAGAACAGCATCAGGAAAATGTACTCTAAGATGCCTGGATATAGATCTTAGAATTTTGATCTGCCCTGGTTTTATACTTCTTAGGATCAGGTCTAGCTTCATAGAAATCTGCTCAGCCTGTATTTAATAGCTGTTTTGCCCTGAATAGGCAAATCCACCTTTTAAATATTATGAGAATAATTCTAAGTTTACAGGTACATTGATTGGGGCATTCATTCAGTAGTCATTAAATATCAGTCCTGAAGTAGAATTTTATTAATCTCTGGAAAGGATTTTAAAAAGTCTCAAATGGCACATAAATTTTCCTTCCAAGCAGGTAAATTGGTTGGTAAGTTAAAGCATACAAATATAATGTAAAATATTTAATCATATCAAGAAAATAAATATTTAATTTGAATGCTTACTCTGTACCAGGCTCTTTGTCAAATTCCTAATTTTTAATTCTTATAATGATTTTGCAAAGCCAATGTTATTATTCTGATTTTTAAAATGAGAAAATACTACTATGCTCAAGATCATATAGTTGGTAAATAGTAAAAATAGTTTCAAACTTAAATCTGTTCTTCCACAGAGGATTTGTTTTTCCCCCTTTCACTAGAAATGCTTGCCTCATCACACCTGCAAACCCCTTTATATCCCAGTTTAAAACCCTTTATGTTCACTTAAAGTAAGTTCTGGAAAGGAATATTGTGTAATGAACAAAGATACATATGGCAGATTGCTTTCAACTTTCATAGTAAATCCAATTAATTTATTATAGCTAAATGAATATTGTATTGAGAGGAGTCTTACTAGTTAAAGGAAGTTGTAAAAGTGTTTTGAGGCTGCTTTTGGGCTCAGTGGGAAAGAATCCCATTTTTGATTTGTGATGTCTGCCTGAAATCAGAGTAGAGCAGCTGTGATCCTTGTGCCATGTTAGTAGCTATCCCTCTGCAAAGAGGATCATGAGACATGAATCATAAGATTGCTCAACAGCAGTCAGAACTCAACTGAACTTTTATATCACATATCTGTCTTGAGTTAGCATCTTAAAATTCCACATCTTCAATGCATCTGTATATGCAAATAGAAACCAAAAGGAAGGGAGTGGAGAGAACCATGCAGGAATAATAGACCAAATAAGCATTTTCTAGTATATAGCCACCAACTTTTGAACACTTAAAATGTTCCTGGTGTGACTGAGAAACTGAAAGTTTTATTTAATGTTATTTAGTTAAAATACTGAATATTTCATTGATGCAAATGTTTAAATATGTTTAGAATAACTTGGGTATGTGATTCTTTTTAACTTGAACATTTTATGAGATCTAATAGATCAAGGAATTTCAATAACAATTAGCCTACAATTAGAAAAATACTGTAAGTATGAAACATACACTGAATTTTGAAGATGACACACTTGCAAAAATAATGTGAGATGTCTAATTAATAATTATGTGGTTTACATGTTGAATATTTTAGATATACTGGGCTAAGTCAGAAGTAAAATATATTATTCAAGTTAATTTCCTTTGTTTTCACTTTTTTAAATGCAGTTACTGGAAAATTTTAAATTGCATGGGAGCCTCATATGTTGCTTCTTTTAGACATCAGACCAGACAGAACAAAGGATAACAGGTACAGAGGAGTCTAGAGCCAAGTGTGTTGATATCATCAGGTATACACATGGTGGTTTTTCCTAGGTCGGCACTGCCCAGGCTCTGTTGTTTCATGCTTACACACATAAGGTGCCTTGTTAAGCTATTTTTCTCCTAATCACTCCCCACATGAAAATTTCTTGAGTGCCTATCCTTTAGTATAAATTGTGGTTTTTTTTATTTTTTCTTTATTATTGATTAACCCTAATAATTATACATACTTATGGAGTACAATGTGATGTTTTCATTCATGTATACATTGTGTAATGATCAAGTCAGGGTAATTAACATATCCAGCACTGTAAAATTTTATCATTTCTTGAAGGTAAGTACTTTCAAAATTGTCTTTTGAAGCTATTTTGACCTGTACAGTGCATTACTGTTAAATGTACTCACACTACTGTGCAATAGAACAACAGAATTTGTACCTCCAACCTAACTGTAACATTATTGACCAGTCTCTCCCAATCCTCTCTCCCCTCTACAGTTCCCATCCCTGGCACACATATTCTTCCCCCTCAACTTCTATTAGGTTAACTTTTTTACATTCTGTGTATGGATGTAATAATGTGGTATTGGTCTTTCTCTGTTGGGTTTATTTCATTTAACAAAATATCCTCCAGGTCCATCCTTGTTGTTACAAATGACAGATCTTGTTCTTTTTCATGACTAAATAGTAAGTATCCCATTATAAATATTTTCCACATTTTTTTTCATTCATCTATTGGTGGATATCTGGTTTGGTTTGATTCCGTATCTTAACTATGGTGAAGTAAACATGTGGTGAAGTAAATATGTTGCAGTAAACATGTTGTAAAGATATCTTTTCAATATATTGTTTCATTTTCTTTTGACATGAAACCAGGATTGCTGGATTATATGATAGCCCTATTATTATATTTTTTGAGGCACTCCCACACTATTTTCTACAATGGTTGTACTAAATTATATCCCTGCCAACAATGAATATATGTTCCATTTTCTGCACATTCTCAACAACATTTGTTATTTTCCACCTTTTTGTTAATAGTCTTTTATTCTAACAGGTGTTAGGTGATATTTTATTTTAATTATAATTTGCAGCTCCCTGATGGTTAGTTTTGTTGGGCTTTTTTAAAATTCATTGATCATTTGTTTGTTGCTTTTTAAGAAATGTCTATCCAGCTCTTGAAATCTTTTTTTATCTTGAATTATTCAGGTTTTCCTGTTGAGGGTTTTTTTTTTTTTTTTTTTAGCTTTTTTGTGTTTTTTTTTAAATAAATTCAGAATATTAATTCCTTGTCAGATGTGTAGTTTGCAAATATTTTCTCACATTCTGTAGGTTATCTCTATTATAATTATTTCCTTTGTTGTGCAGAAGCTCTTTCTTTAATTAGATGCAATCCTATTTGTTTATGTGTGCTTTTGTTGCCTGTGCTTTGAGGTTTTATCTAAAAAGTTCTTGCCCAGAAAAAGGTCGTGTAATATTTCCTGTATGTTTTCTTCTAGTAGTTTCACAGTTCAGTTCTGGGTCTTACCTTTAAGTCTTTAACTCATTTTGAGTTGATTTTTGTACGTATGTATATAGAAATAAAGATATAGATATGGATATATAGATATAGATATAGATATAGATATAGGGATGTAATTTCATTCTTCTGTACATCAATATCCACTTTTCCCTGCACTGTTTATAGAAGAGACTCTTCTTTCCCCAATGTATATTCTCATCACCTCTGTAAAAAATCAATTGGCTGTAAATGTGTAGTTTCATTTCTGGGCTCTTTTTTCTGTTCCATTGTTCTGTGTGTCTGTTTTGATGACAATACCATGCTGTTTAAGTTATTGCAGATTTGTAGTATTTTTGAAGTCAGATAATTGTGATGCTTCCAGCTTTGTTCTCTTTATTCAGGATCTTTTGTAGTTCCATATGAATTTTAGGATTGTTGTTTCTGTTTCTGTGAAGAAAGACATGAGAATTTTGATAAGAATTGCAGTAAATCTATGGATTGCTTTGAATGGTAAGGGCATTTTAATTATATTAATCCTTCCAATCCATGAATACAGACTATCTTTCCATTCATTTATATTCACTTCAATTTATTTAATCAATCTTTATAGTCTTCTGTGTGGATCTTTTTCATCTCCTTGGTTGAATTTATTGAATTTATTACTAGCCATTTTTTGTAGCTATTGTAAATTGGACTGTTCTCTTTTTCAGATAGTTCACTATTAGCATTTAGAAATACTACTTACTTTTGTGTGTGGATTTTGTGTCCTGCAACTTTACTGAACTTATTCCAACAGGTTTTTGTTTTGTTTGGGTTTTTTTGTTTTTTTTTTTTGTGAACTCTTTGAGGTTTTGTATATGTTGTCTGAAAACAAGGACAGTTTGAATTCCCTCTTTCTGATTTTAATGTCTTTTATTTCTTTCTCTTGCCTAATTGCTCCAGTTAGACTTCCAGTAGTACACTGAGTAAAAGTGATAAGAGGGGTCATCCTTTACTTGTCCTGATTTTAAAGAAAAAGCTTTCAATTTTTCCCTGTTTGGTCTGATGTTAGCTGTGAGTTTCAACCTATCGTCTTCACTGCTGAATTCTACCTAACATTTAAAGAGTAACTACTCCAATTTTTCTCAAATTATTGCAAAAAAAAAATTAAGGAAAATTCTTCCAAACTCATCCTACAAAGCCAGTATAACCAAAACCAGACTAGGACATAACCAAAAAAGAATATATAGTTCAATATTCTTGATGAACATAGGTATAAAAATACTCAACAAAATACTAGTGAATCAAATTCAATAACATGTTAAAAAGATCATTCACCATGATCAGTAGGGATTCATCCCAGGAGTACAAGGATGGTTCAATGCGTACAGATTAATAAATGTAATACCTCCAAGACAAAAACTTGATGATCACCTCAAAAGATGCACAAAAAGTATTTGATAAAACTCAACATCCATTCATAATTAAAAATTGTCAACAAATTAGATGAAAAAGGAACATACCTCAACACAATTAAGGCAATATGGTACACTCCTTTTAAATTTTTGAACACCAAAAAACATATAATTCTAAGATGTTTTTGCTCATCCTGAATTTTACAGCTGTTCTTTGGGAGTGATATAATTTAAATTGGGAACTAATGTTTTGGATTAATTGGGAATAGTTAAGTGACTAGAGGCCTAATGGGAATAGAATGTACCTTCAAACAGTGAGAGACAGTGATAACTATAGGATTATGAGTTAAGAAAGAAAGAAGTTGACGAATGATGAGGCAGAGGTATCATAACGAGGCTTTGTCTCAGGGCATGAGGAGCTATCTTTAGTGCACACAGTTAACCAACACATTTATCTATATCTTTGGTCTATACATTTTTCTATATGGGTATAAGGTTGGGGCAGCATCTAACTCATATGAATGTCAATTATAAAGTTGCAACATAGCATATATTTAAGAGATATTGTGTACATCATTGTGTTCACCATTATTCCTCTCAGAGCAAAAGATGCTGTCAGTAGGCTTTCCAAAACTATAACAAAATACTTTAGATAATCAAATTTTAAGGAGGAAAGGTTACTATTGGGTCATGCTTTAAAAGGCTTGAGTCCATGGTCATTTGTCCCTTTGTTTTGGGTCTGTGGTGGCATAGCACATCATGGCAGGGAGCACACTATAGAGGTCTATTTACCTCACAGTGGTCAGGAATAAAAGAAACAGAAAGAGGCCAGGGTCCCAGTATTGCCTTCAAGAGCAACCCTAAATGACCCAACCTCCTTCCATGAGGCTCCACCTCTTAAAAGTTGTACCACCTCCCGGTAGCATAACAGGCTGGGGGTCAAGCCTTCAACACATAGGCCTTTGGGAGACATTCAAGATCTAAACTTTAGCAGATGCCAATTCTGCATTTGAGATAATCTGAGGAAATAAACAAGTGTGTATAAACACGTGACAGCTTCATTTTCAGGTTTTAGAATATGATGTAGTCAGTATTTAACCATCACAGACCCCTCCCTGATTATTTTTCTTCTTCTTCTCTCCACCACTCATCTACCTGTATTTGATAGTAAAATGAGAGTAATTGATGCTAGAGCAAGAGGTACACCAAAATGCAGGGAAAGGGTCAATCAGCATCATTTTCTGTAAACAAAAATTTATATAAATAAGATTCACGGTATTCCAGCGCACAATGTGATTCAATATAATTTATTTTGAGACAAAAAAATGTTACCTCTTAGATGTTGGCAAAAAGTGACTTTATTAAAACATGTATGGTATAAACTGGGACTTAACCTGTCAGAAGATAGTGTGATATAATGATAAACAAAAGGAAAAATCTACATTGAATCTTGGAGATAAAAAGAGAGGTGATAATTAAATGTTTTCCAGGTTTGTTCTATTACTGTTAGAACAGGTACCCAGTCAGCTAACAAAATATTCAAGTATTCTTGACAGATAAGTTCTCGAAGAGAAGTTGAGTATCACAGCTACATAACAACTAAACAGCATCATTTAACTTGTTTTATTTTGACTCAAGCAAATTTCTGATTTAAATTTAGCTTCACAAATAGGCCCATTACTGAGATGTGAATGTTTGTGCTCTAGAATTCATGTTTTGGCAACTTCATCTACAAAGTTAGACAGTAATAGTATTTGGAGATGGGTCCTTTGGGATATGAATGTGTCTGGGGGGCTGGGCTCCATGTATGGATCAAGGGACTGGGTTAGTTATCACTAGAACATGTCTGTTATAAAAGCCAATTTGGTCATTTCTCATGAGTCTCTTCACCATGCAATGCTTTTTTCTGCCCTAGAACTCTACAGAGTCTCTCCATCAGCAAGATTACCCTCCCAGGTGCCTGCATCATGCACTTGAGCTTCCCAGCTTATTTAACCATAAACTCAATAAACCTCTATACTTTATAAATTACCCAGACTCTAGTATTTTGTTATAGTAAGACAAAAAAACTGAGATACCCTTCTAACCAAAAAGACTCTTTAGTTGACTAAAGAGTCCACCCATTAGTTGTAATATTTTTTCATTGATAATTTGTTAGTTGGCATTTCAGGCACTTAAAATACACTATATTGTAAATTGAAATATATAACCACCCTACTCTTCACCTATTCCATTTTGTCCTGTCTCATATGTAGCCTCACTATCCTCCCATATCACCTAAACGAAAAACTGGAAAGCTGTCTGAGAATTCTTGCTCTCTATGATCCTTCCCTTAAACCAGTCAATATAGATTATTAATTCTTTCGTGCAACATTTTTGCAACACTATTTCCACTAGCTTAGTCCTTCATCAATTCTCCATGATTTCTGTAAAGGTTGCTCTACCATTTTTTGTGTCTTCAAATCAATTATGGCCTTAATCAGGACTGTTTCATTCATGAGTGACATGACTCAAATGGTTGAACCCAAAAGATAACTTATAGACTCAAGTAACTAAGGATGATAAGAATAGTTCTGCCCTCAAGTACAACTGGACCAATAGCTTCTAAAGTATTTTCTCCTATCAAGCCCACCTACTGAGGAAACTGAAGCAAGATGATCACAAGTTCAAGGGCAGCCTGGAAAACTGAATGAGACTTTGTCTCAAAATAAAAAATTTAAAAGGACTGGGGATGTAGGTAGTGGTACAGCACTTGCCCAGCATGCACAAGGGTGCTAGATTCAATTCCCATTACCACCAGTAAATAAATAAACAAACAAACATATTTGGGTGTTCCTTTTTTCATTTCTCAGCTATGATTAAGTTTGCCCAAATGTCACCTATTAAAGTTAGACTTTCTCCATGACTAGTGTGTTAGATAGTAAGATGCACTGCCTTCCCAGGAAGAACAAACTCTCCAGCTGTAGGGAATCCAGCCAGCCCTTGCAGGACACTCATGCATTCATCTCACTTCTGAGCTCCCTGCCACATTTACAGAGGCTTTGTCAGACCCTCGTTGTAGCTCAGCTTCCCCCTCTGCCTGATTAGACATCTTTTCTATTTTTTTATACCTTCTGCATCCCAAACTCCATCTCAGTATGAGTCCCCAGAAATGGCCTATGACAGTGAGTTATATGGGCTATATGACAAAGCCACTGAGACTTTGTAGTACCCCCAACTCCATGATCCTGGAATTAGAAATCAGTCCTCCTCTTCTACCTCTAGTAAGAACATTCTTAGGATGGATTTTGACCAGGCACAGAGGGGCATACCTGTAATCCCGGCGACTCAGGAGGCTGAAGAAAGAGGATCACAAGTTCAAAGCCAGCCTCCAGCAACTTATTGAGACCCTAAGCAACTTAGCGAGATCTTGTCTCCAAATTTAAAAAAAATTAATTTAATTTAATTTAAAAATTAAAAAAAAACTTGGCTGGGGATGTGGCTCAGTGGTTAAGCACCTTGGTTTCTATCCCTGGTGACAGAGAGAGAGAGAGAGAGAGAGAGAGATGGATTCTTATTGGCCCTATTTGCTGCACACTTGATTCCATGGGATACTTACTGGGGCCATGAAGTCAAGGATGTGTTTGACAGCCCCAGCAGGACCATATGAAGTGAATAAAGAAAAGTTAGCCAAAGGAAGGAAAAAGTTGCTCCCTCTAATCTTCCATACAGTCAACTAAGGGCTCTTCTAAACTACAATCTACATATGAGTTTCCTTTGGTTAAACAGCTTCCCCTATTTGCCTACTGCAATATATTGGTAAATAAAATTCATCATAAGACAAAACATTCTAAAATACACAGATTCAGCACATCTCTTATTTTTGGAGTATTTATTACTTAAGAATGTTTCCTGCCTTAAACAGAAGATTGTTTTCTGCAATTATTGCCTTTGGCTCAATGGCTTCACTGTGATGGGGGAGTCAACATCTTAGCAGTTCTCATGGCTTTTTATTCATGGGTGCAATGTGGCTGCCAGGGCTCTGGCTATTATAACCTGATTCAAAGT